GTCTTGACTTTATTTGCCAGACACACGGCACTGAACACACATGCAGAGGTGAACACAAGACACACATGCAGAGGTGAACACAAGACAACATTAGCACGAGCAGTAATCCTACAAGCTGTCATCACTACCCTCCTGACTGTTCTCCTCACTGTCTTCCTCTCTGTCAGACATGGTAGCTGATGATGTAGGCCTACTTCTTTCTCTCTGGTTGCTATGGGCCAGCCCTGAGTTCATATCATGGTTCATATGCAACTCGCAAATATCTTTCTCTCTCTCTCTTCTCTCTCTTCTCTCATCTCTCCTCTCTCTTCTCTTTTCTCTTCTCCCTTCTCTCTCTCCCTCTCTCAATGTTGGTACGCAAATGCGCTTTGTTTCAAATGACCCGGTGCTCTTTTTTTGGCGGAGGTGCGCATGCGCACTTGCGCACCAGTTATGTGCAGCCCTGTCTATAAAGTCAATGTTAGTTTGATAAATGATAGTCTTACTCTAATCACTCAGTTTGGAGTGCTGTTAACTTTTCCCTAATGTCAAATTTCACTGAAATTGTCCCGTATATTTTATCCTTAGAAAATGCATCTAATTGTAAAGGTTTGGCTGTAAATGTGTTGATTTGTGCAGCTCAGCTCTGCACCAAACTCTCTCTGATGATGGTGATGTGTGTCCTTTTCAACCATGCAGACAGATCAACCAGCCGCTCTCTCCGGTCTGCAGAGCAACACTCAGCCTGTCCAGAAACACACACGCTGCTTCCTGACATTTGCAATCCTTTCATTATTTAGGACTCTATCCAACTCTGTGACAAGAATACATAAGTTTGCTTGATTAAGCTACAATGCAGAATTTTTTTAACTTGCCAAAGTGAAAATCCAAAAGGTAAAGCACATGATAAGATATTACTGCACTGTAACAACAAAACTACTTGGAAGCAGGAAAATCTCAGGGATCATCACTTATTGAAAACGTTTGAAAAGCAGTTCAATTTAACTGCGACTTTTCTCAACATCAGCTAATATTTGTTAAGACCAGAGAATCAATCAGGGAGCTTATTCACCAAAGAGAGAATGCACAAACACACTTTGGTTCCATCTGGACCACATTGCACAGTCTGAATTGAAAGTGGAAGAGCAGCACCTGGAAAGGAAGATTGTACCTGATTGCTGCTCTGAAAGAAAAGTTCACCATATAGCAAAATGCTTATTCTTGTCACGGTCTGCCTGTGTTGTGTTTTGTCTGTCTCTGGTTTCCTGTTTTATTTTGAAAAGTGTTCACCCCCTGTCTTGTCTGTTGATTCCTGTCTCTGTGTTTGCCCTCCTGTGTCTGATTTCTTGATTGTGTTCACCTGGTGCCCCTGTGTTTTCTCCTCCCTCCTCACCTGTGTCTTGTTTGTGTGATTAGTCTTGTGTGCATTTAAGTTCTGTTTTTTCTGTTTGTCATTGTTGGATCCTTGTTTGTCTTGACTGTGTTCACGGGGAAGAGTTATGTTTGTTTTCTAGTTTACCTTGAAATAAAGGAAGATTCTGTGAAATCTGCATTTGGGTCCTGCCTGCATCACTCACCCTGACAATTCTAGTGGTACGACAACTACCACTACATATCTGGGATTATTTTTTCTCTCTTCTACAATGGAAGCAGTAGCAGTAGTTTAACTGTAGAAGTGGTGGTAGTAGAAGCAACTATAACATTTAAAAACAAGAGTAATGCCAAAGTTCAATAGAGTGCCACAGTGACGCATCCTAAAACCCGGAAGTAAGTTAGCATTTTACCACTTCCGGTTCCTTCGACAAAAACCAATGCAATTTCTCCATAGGATTTTGGAAAATAGCTCGAAATAAGGTCTGTGGTAGACACAAATTGAAGAGACAGATCACGTTGCCGGACTTTTATAATTTTTGAATCATAAATCTAATCGGTAGATTTATGATCGATAGATTTATGATTAGAAAATTATAAAAGTAGGGTAGACATGTGGATATTATCCGGCTGAACAAAACGTGATCTGTCCCATGTCATGGCCATTTCTACTGATCATATTTCCATTGTTGAGGTCTACTAGAATAGATTTATTGTGCAATTTTCCAAAATCACATTGGATTCTGATACAGCATCTCTGTATAGTATGTGTATTCACCAGGTATTCACTCTCTGTCCTAAACGGCTTGTTGGAGCTCCCCCCCCTCCCTGTGAGGCCAGTGTGGTCTGATTGGTCGGGACGTTGCGAGGCTGCTGTTGCGAGGAGCGGAAAGGTTTCCGGGTCGGCGATACAGCGAGAAACAGCTAAACTCATCCTGACCTGAGCACACACAAACACTCACAGCCGAAGTAAAAACAATAAGTGTGGCTTGATATTGAGTAAGAAAAAGGTTTAGAACGCTGTGAGAATGGGTCTGCAGAGAGCATTTCTCCGCCATCCCAACTCGTCTATTACCAGCGTTCAGGGAGATCTATGCAAGTCAATGGGGACTCCCTGTTAGTTTATGGGCTCAGAACAGTCTCATAATACACACATGCACACAGAAGGATTCACACTTGTATTTCATGATCCATACTGGTGTTTTTCAATGCACACACAAATGTGTTCCGTTTCATATACATGTAAATAAAATCCAAATACAGAAAAAAGTTTTACATATGTATTTTTGATCATCACATATTTGTTTTCCGTTTAAATCCCCTGAACCTGCAAACACAAACCGCTTTCTGTGCACGGATCGCTGTGCAAAATGCGTACATGAAGCGCTACGTCATGAACGCAAGAAATCATACCCTCGTGGGGGCGCGCTCATGTGATTGGCTTAGAATGAAGGAGACATCTGATTGGCTATAGATAGAAACAATTACAAGTAGGAATCGGCTGACCGTCAGGGGAGTCTCAAAAAACCCACACACGAATGCAAAGCGATCCGTGCACAGAAAGCGGTTTGTGTTTGCAGGTTCAGGGGATTTAAACGGAAAACTAATATGTGAGGATCAAAATTACATTATGTAAAACTTTTTTCTGTATTTGGATTTTATTCACATGTATATGAAACGGAACAAATTTGTGTGTGCATTGAAAAACACAAGTGTGGATCCGGAAATACAAGTGTGAATCCTTTTGTGGATCATGAAATACAAGTGTGAATCCTTCTGTGTGCATGTGTGTATTATGAGACTGTTCTGAGCCCATATTAGTTAGCCAAGGGATCCTGGTGTGTGACGTTCTCTGCATTTGTTGTTGATTTGGGTATTCACACGTCACAGGACCCAGGAAGAAAACAATGGAAGATGGGAAATCTCCAACGGGGCGTTTTGGGGCAGCATAGACAGGTCTTTTCTGTGTTCGTTTTACTCGCTACAGGGTGTACTTTGAGGGTTTTTGACTTTGCAGACCGTTTACATGCAGAAAAACCTTCATAACACACAAGGGAACGGGTAATAACCGGAAAAGCATGACATGGGCCCTTTAAATGTGTGTCAACCACAGACCTTATTTCAAACTATTTTCCAAAATCCTATGGAAAAATTGCATTGGTTTTTGTCGAAGGAACCGGAAGGAGTTTACTTCCGGGTTTTAGGACGCGTCACTCTGGCACTCTATGGAGTGGTGCATGGAATGAAATGAGTCAGCAATTTACAACTTGCTGTTTACTGATCTTGAAGTAAGCGGTTTTTTTAATGAGTTTTTCAAAGTGTCATTACAGCAGTTGCTGACAAGTGACTAAATAAAATACTAAATGTCATCACCCCGACACAAGTCGGCCTTTAGCTTAGCGGTGGTGATGTGCAGCCATGCAAACGTGATGTAGTTTGTTTGTAGCCTAGCGTTAGCTTTTTACTCCAGTCAATTGGATTTACACTTCCAAGTTCACAAAGTGGTATTAATATGTGGAGATTATCCTGCTGAACAACAAGTGTTAGGTGTCATAAATGTGTGTTTGCCAGAGAGCTTGTTTTATTTCCAACTTTTAAACAGCAGTCAACAGTCGTTTTAGATTTATACCTATCCTGCTGCTGAAATTCTGTTTTGCTCACACATAACATTCAGATAGTGGAAAAAAACAAAAAGAACAGGTAAAAAATGCAGGGTCTTGTACAACGGACCTCCCCTTTACTTAAAGGTAGGGTAGGTAAGAATGGAGAAACCAGCTCGAGTAAGCTAGAATTTGAAAGTACACAACCGAAAACAAATCTGCCCCTTCCTTCAGACTTACTTACAGAGCCCCTCCTCCAACACACACAAACGCGCATGACCAATGAGGGCACGAGATAAGTTTGTGCACGAGATGGAAGGCTGACAGGCAGGTACAGTAGGCCATCCAATTATCTGCCGCGGGCCAAGGCAGATAATTGGACTTGCTTTTTACAGCGCCACGGCCTCCACAGATGAAATATTTGTATATATTTATTGTCAAAGCATTTAATTTATTCATTGCTATCTGGATGTTAAGAGCATTCCATGGAATATAACAAAAAAAAATTCTGAAGTGAATTACCTACCCTACCTTTAAGGAGAACATGGGATGGCATGTCTCCATGCCCTGGAACCACTTCAATGGAAAAGGGCAAATGTGTCTTCCACATTAACACAATATCTTTTTGTACATAAGCACATTTTCCAATCCATCCAAGATGTGTGTTTCTATCATCTTATCATTACCTGGTCCACCTTTCTTAAACACAATCAGCTCTTCCTGTACCTTGCTGCCTCCAGCAGACATCTGTACCACCTGACATCACCGTCAGACCTTCATAAGCCTTTTCTAAAGTCTGTCCTGTGTTCATCAATAAGATAATCACATTTTCAAATGATTTCCCCTTTGAAATCAAGGCATGCTGAACCCCAACTCGTTTTGAGCCAACCAACAACAAGCATGAAGTTAAACAGCATTACACAGCACAAGCCAGCAGAGGAAACTCAGCGAAACATCCTCACACTTCCAGCACTTTGTCACTTTTCATCAACAACACAAGCACTCATCACCACACACGGCTTTCTCACAGCTCACAGAAGCAACACTTACCAACATTGATGACATTGGCGGACAGGAAGTGGCTGCAGGGAAGGCTGGAAGTGCTCACATAAGAATCTCCGTCCGTGGTCACGGTAGTCCTGGACCTCAGGGACAGGTTGGGCGAGTCGGTGTCCATGGCCATCCGGGCTGCCACAGACTCCATCACTGCTGATCGCTTACAGACACGTCCACAGTTTGGACAGATGTGTTGTTGCTGACCTCACACCACGAAGACAGTCTGAGAACTTCCTCTTGTCAAAGTTCAGTAGTAGTGGAAAATGTTTAAGGAAAGTGACTGGGTCAGTCTAGATTGATCTAAAGCGGGAACAATCCTAAAATCCAATCCAAAATGTTGTCACGTTGAAGTCTTCTTCACATTCCACAAAAGATTGCCTGACCAGATCCTCAAATTCAATGCGAAGGGCAGTTTATGATGAATGGCGTCACTCAAGAAGATGGTTTAGCCCTCCGGTTCCCAACATAATCCCTGACAGGCCAAGCTGCTACCCCTACAGCAGAGAGAGAAAGAGAGATATTAAATGTGTTTGCCATTTATGTTCAGATAACAATTGTGTCTAATTTTTGTTTAACCCCTTAAGCTATTCGTCAAGGTTGAGAGCAGAGCAGGATGGACCCAAATGCAGGACAAAGGTTTTGACAAAATACCTTCAGTTCCAGGCAAATGGGCAACGCAGGGCGAGTCAAAACAATAGTAAGAAAACTCTCCAACAAACATGAAACAGAACAAGGATCTGACAACTACTAAAACAAAAATAGAACTTAAATACATGCCAGACTAATCACAGGGACAAGACACAGCTGGGGAGGGCACCAGGTGAAGAATAACCTCAAACAGGAGGGAAAACACAGAGACAGGAAGTAAAAACAGACATGATACAGGGGGTCAACATTTTTGGATGGTATTTTATCAGTGACCTTAGGTTATACGAACACATTTGTTTGTTTTTTCAAGCATTTTCAATTAAAAGCAGGGAGAGGACAGCCATTTTTTTAGCCATAGGTCGCTATCCCCAGTAACTATAGGAACATGGTTATTTGCAGGAGTAACTGTGTAAATCTAAATGCAGTGTGTCCTGTGCTGTTCAACGGGAAATTATCTGGTTTTCTTTGCAGCGCCACAGATAAAACCACTGATCTGTCTTTTTCCGCTTTTACTTTATACTGATGACATAACATAAAATGAAATTCCTTTATGCTGCTGCAATGTTGTCATTGGAAGAACATTTTAAATATTTTATACCAATAAGGTGGTACAGTGATGACGTATTTTTGTACACAGACCACTAAGTTAGCATCGCAAATGCTCGCTCGACAAAAAGCAAAGGGATTCCCCCATTAGATTTCGGTATATTGCAGGATAATGCCAACATATTGACACCACTTTCTGATTTTTGAAGAGTACATGCAATCGCCAGATGCAAATAGATACGTTCAGCTATAAATAGGGGTGTAACGGTTCACATAATTCATGCTTCGGTACGTACCTCGGTTTGGGGGTCACGGTTCTGTACGGGTTCGGTACAACAAGAAAAAGCAAAAAAAAGTCCAAATGTATAATTCCAGGTTTGTTTCTATTTATTTTGAACAGTAGTGCAAGTTTCAGTTTAAAAATAAGGAACTTTAACATTTTGAATAATAAGTGTTGGTAAGTTATTGTCTCTCTGTTTAAGACTTATGATAATATATGTGTCTTTGTGCATAATAGCCTGATTCTTGTTTGCTTGAACCATGTTAACGTTTCTGTGCATTAGTTCACAAAGTTGAGAGATTATGTTTTAGATATGTTAGATATGTTATGTTAGCTAGCTAATTTACCAGATAATTTTAAAAAAACTCACGCAGGCCCGGTTCTACGGGGGTGCATAAGGGTGCATTGCCCCCTCAGTTGAGTCGTTATGCACCCTCATTTGAAAAGTGAAAAAAAATAATTAAAAGTGAAAAAGATTACATATATAATAATAATAAGAAGAAGAATATAGTTGAAATAAAATAAATTGTGGTTAAATAATATTGTCTGCTGCATTTATTTGGTCAATTGAAACGGTAAGTAACGTTATTATGTCAGGTGCGCGTGACCTGTGCCGCTGCACGTTCGTCATCTGCAAGGTTCTTACACAACAGTCAATTATGGACATCAGAAAATGGTTAAAACAACCAGCCCTTATCGCCAGCAGTAACACTGCATCTACTGCAGGTAATAACAGTTCAGATCATGGAGACATTACGTTACCCGCGGCCACTGTCGTGGATACTAACGTCCTCCCGCCCGACTCGCCGGCTTTGCCCGCCTCGCCCACAGAGGCGGAGCAGCCGCAGCCGTCTTCGTTGCCCCAAACACCACCACCCCTCGGCGGCCCGCAAGTGCCAGAGGACCTCAGCAAAACAGAGCCTGCCCAGGTATATTTAAGAAAGTACCCAACTCGCCTGTACTGTGGGGTAAGGCGCTCATTTTGCAGCTCATTGTTTCAAAACAGAGATTGACTGGAATATTCATGTAAAAAAGATGCCATCTGCAACTTTATTATTACACAGTTAAAAACAAACCACAAACAGTACCACACACACTCAGATGGCCATATTATCTATAATGGCTGATGTCAAACAAAAAGGTTCAATAAGCTGTAAAACTAAAAAAGAATGTCTTGAAAATATTACAAAATAAATAATAAGAAAGTGTTTCAATAACAATCAATAAAAGCCGGGGTCCTCTACTATTGGATAAGGGCGCAGCATAGCCGTTGAAATATATATGCCAAAAGCTTCCGTTACTTCTTTTGGTTTCACGGCTTTCATGTCTATTGGTTTAAACAGCGGGATAAGCTGTTGTCTTTTGCCGGGCTCCGATGATTGCCAAATCTGGGTGATGCCTTCTGATATGATTTAGCATGTTTGGCGTGTGTTACCATTAGCATACCGCACCGCTGTCGAACAACGCCGACACACCGCCCTCGTCCGATCCTCGCAGCATGTGTACTCGCGATTGAGAAACGGCCACTATTTCAAGCATACTACGTCATCGAGTGCCGCAGAAGGACTGTTCCAATGTCCAGCAGACTTGGAATTCTACCGAGCCCGGCGTACTTCGTGGCGAGAAATTTCGAGGCTGCACATAACGTTTCTTCTTCTTTTATTTTGTTCTTTTTATTGTGTTTTCGTCTTCATTTGTTGTTTAAGGGTGGCTGGCAAACAGCTTTTAGGAGCAATACCGCCCCCTGGATTACATATAGTGTAATGGATACTGAATGACAGACTTTTCTCCCACTCGTAAAAAAAAGGAGTATTCGTCGTGTGACTTCATGTACCGAACCGTGACTTCCGAACCGTGACGTCCGAACCGTGACGGTACGGGACGAATACGGAAACCGTTACACCCCTAGCTACAAACAAACTACATACGGGTCGGTGGCTGTGCATCAACACCACTAAGCTAAAGATGGACGTGTCGGCGTGATTACCTTTTGTTGGTGTTCTGTAAGCAACCGTAGTATTTGTGACACATAGAAGCTTCGGACACTCAAAACTCTTCATCTTGTGTCCACCACATAATTAGTTGCAGGCGTCTAACCACACGTTTTAAAAAGGTTGACTTCAAGACGAGGGACCTTCATTTCATGTTAGAACTCTTTCCTGCATGCACCCCTCTATGCGGATTGTATTCAAAAATAATAAGCACGAAAATATTCATTAAAAAAAATTGTTTTACTACGTCCACATGGACTCAGCTCCTAGTGGCCAATAGAGAGACTGCAGCCTAAAGCAGCAAAACATTGAATTACAGTATGTCAGCTGTAGTGGCTCTGTGACCCAATTATTCAGTTTGACAAACACACACACACACACAAACACACACTCACAAACACACACTACATTTTTCATGTGGAGTTTCCCTTAAGGTCCTACACAGTAAACCAATGTTGTATACATACAGTATGTTGCGTAATAGACTGTATGTAATCAATGAGGCTCATATGAGGACCACATGACAGGTGGATAAATTGCAGTCAATAACAGCTCCTTATAGATACACAAATATAGCTCCATATATATATATACAGAGCTATATTAGTGTACAGATTGCATTGTGGTTTGTTGTGTGTAGATATAAGGGGTCACTAAGAGTCACCGCAGGCCCCCTTAGGGCTTCCTCAATTTCACTTTACCTCAGATACCATTATTGTTACTTTATTTCTATATAGAACACGTCACACATATTAAATAATTCAAACAGCTGTGAGAAAAGACACCTAAAGGCAGAAGCAAAGACAAAACAAAGAGAAGGAGGGAATAATAAAACAGAAACTTTTGAATTAACGGATTTAAAATGTTGGAATGAAACATCCTATAAATCTCCCAAAGCCTTTCAAGACATGAATTTGCAGTAGACAAAACTGCAGTCTACGCACACTGGAGCATGACAGCTGCCGGCATGTCCCACCACACCTCAGAATCACCTCACCTCTCCTACCTAAAGTTCCTTTGTTTTCCCACCTCCGCCGTCCGCCATCACTCACAGACACCCACCCACATATAGATTGTATAAACCTGAAAAGTATTTACCTCTCAGCTTGAAAGGCTCCTTAAAACCAGCTTTCAAAGTCGAATGCTTTAATGTTGTGTATGTGATCCACCGCCCTGCGAAGGACTGAACAATGTGCAGTGTGTTGGGGGGGGAGTGAGTCATGTTGAGCGTGGTGGGCTGGCTGCATGACGTGTTGGGATCTGTTTGAAGGCTTGGCGGTCAGATGGGCTGAGCTGCAGGTCAGGGCACGTTGCTGTTCCCATCAAACCCACATAGACACACTCCACCTGGATACAGGAGAAGTGTGTGTGTCTATAGATTGTATGTGACGCGCTAATTCCAACGCAAGCCTTCTGTCGGAAGTGTTTCGCCCATTCATTCAAAAATAACATGGGAGGAGTGAGTCAAATATGACACTGAGCTGCTTTAATTCATTCATAAGAGGCTTAGGGTATGATCAGACTTCCAATGATTATATCAAATATGGTTGGGGTATTATTTAAAGAGGCCCGATTTTCCCTCTCCTGTAGTGTGTTCTAAAGGTTTTCGTGCATGTAAATGGGCTGCAAAGGCTAAAATCCCTGTGTTCTCTCCAGAGGAAGTTTCTCTCCCACACACTCCTCCATGCCTTAAACGCCTCCATCGGACTCCTTTGTTTACTTCTGTAACATAGTGACATCACTATGTAACATTTGCGCTTCTATTGGCTAGCGCTCCAACACAGCTGTTGTAGCTGACCAATCACAACAGTGCCAGCCAGCTAACCAATCAGAGCAGACTGGGCTCTGGTTTCAGACAGAGGGTGAAAAGAGGTGCTGCAGCACAGGCAGTATGAGAAAAATAAAGAGCTTTCTGAACATTAAAGCATGGAGACATGTAGAGACAGTACATACTGATATACACCTGAACATCAGCAGGAGAGGACTCTTTAAAGTAGAGACACTACATACTGATATACACCTGAACATCAGCAGGAGAGGACTCTTTAAAGTAGAGACACTACATACTGATATACACCTGGACATCAGCAGGAGAGGACTCTTTAAAGTAGAGACACTACATACTGATATTCACCTGAACATCAGCAGGAGAGGACTCTTTAAAGTAGAGACACTACATACTGATATACACCTGAACATCAGCAGGAGAGGACTCTTTAAAGTAGAGACACTACATACTGATATACACCTGGACATCAGCAGGAGAGGACTCTTTAAAGTAGAGACACTACATACTGATATACACCTGAACATCAGCAGGAGAGGACTCTTTAAAGTAGAGACACTACATACTGATATACACCTGAACATCAGCAGGAGAGGACTCTTTAAAGTAGAGACACTACATACTGATATACACCTGAACATCAGCAGGAGAGGACTCTTTAAAGTAGAGACACTACATACTGATATACACCTGATCATCAGCAGGAGAGGACTCTTTAAAGTAGAGACACTACATACTGATATACACCTGAACATCAGCAGGAGAGGACTCTTTAAAGTAGAGACACTACATACTGATATACACCTGAACATCAGCAGGAGAGGACTCTTTAAAGTAGAGACACTACATACTGATATACACCTGAACATCAGCAGGAGAGGACTCTTTAAAGTAGAGACACTACATACTGATATTCATCTGATAATGAGCAGAATACCTTATGTCCTCTTTAAGAGCTTATATGTCACAAGAAATCTTTTGCCAACACTACATCAATGTTTGTGTCTAAAGAAATATGGCATACATGCTCAGTGTTCATTATACAGATCGACTTGAAGTAGACCTTTGGTATTGTCCTTGCGACTAGCCAATTGCATGAATTATTCCTGGAAATGAAAGTCAAGTTTTGTGTGGAATTAAAAAGCTGACTGACTAACCCTAACCGTAACACAATGCTGCTTTTCTAAAACTCTTAACGATATTAGTCACATTATTAATATTGTGATGGTCACAGGGGTCTGCTGACAGAAAGAAAGAGTCGGCTAGAGGAGAGGGGAGCAATTATTTTTGGTTGATACTGTGATTGACAAGGAGTGAAAACCCTTTTTTGGTTTACATCCCATTTGCATCCATTTGTTTGTCCCTTTGATTCTACTTCCCACAGCTCTACTGCGTTGGATTCGGGTGCTCTTACATTGAAAAAAGATTCTGACAAAGCCGCTGTGCACTGCCTGCTGAGCAGCAAACAGACAGACAGAGAGGAGCTGGTAAACAGCAAATAATTTAGCGGATAAAGAAAACATGTATTTTTTGCAGGGGCTGGTGGATAAAAGCTAAGGTGGTCACGAACATGAATAGAAATGAATGATAATATTGCTCTGTGTCTATATAATGTGTAAATATGAAACTGTTGGCTAATGTGTGTACTTTTTTATACAAATATATCAAGTGTAAATGTTAGCCACCATGAGCAATTGTTCATACAATATCCAGTGTCGAATAGATAGATAGATTGATGCAAAACATGTGAAATTTGAGCTTTTTAGAGAGATTTAGAAAAAACCCACTTCTGGGGTCATTTGGGTGCATTTTCCATATCTCTGGCCCCCCTCGTTCGATGTTGATGATTGACATCTCTTTTTAACCGTTAGAGCCAATATAATCGAGGGGAAGTTCCTCAAATCCATCTAAACATTACCCATTGGTGAATGAGTGATGCGCAGCCAGAATGCCCCGGAACCGGAAGCTGTGATACACTCTGGTAGCTATCATTAGCAGCTAATATGAAATCTCCGTTTTTGACATAAAAATTGGAGAATTTTTTTTTGGCAGAGGCTTATCTGGATGCAGGAGGTCCTTCAGCTACCGAAACACAAAACAAGATATCATGCTCAAGATGAAAATGGAGTGAAAATGTAAGATAAGCATCAAGTCTGTCCACTTATCTTAGACTTGTCCTGACACGTACATGTGGTGACTTTGCCTGCAACAGTCTCACTGTTTGTACAAGGTTGGAATTGAGTGCATGACAAAATTAGAATCCTCATACATTGTAAAGGAAGACATTTGGAACTGACATTTATGGCTGTATGTCAACCCGGTGTAGTCATAGATATCAGCACTGTTTGGAAGCATGAAACTCTATTGTGTTAACATGGATGACAGTACAACCTCGTGTTCTGGCGTCCACAATGGGTCTTTTTATGACCACTTCATAGAAAATGTGAAGCAGCCTATTAGTGAATACCTTAAAGGTCCCATGTCATGCTTTTCCGGTTATTACCCGTCCCCTTGTGTGTTATGAAGGTCTTTCTGCATGTAAACGGTCTGCAGAGTCACAAACCCTCAAAGTACACCCTGTAGCGAGTACAACTCTAACACAGAGAAGACCTGTCTATGCTGCCCCAGAACGCCTCGTTGGACATTTCTCATTTTCCATTGTTTGCCTCCTGGGTTCTGTGACGTGTGAACACCCAAATCAACAACAAATGACCGGATTGGCCCAAATGGACCAATCCGCAGAGCACCTCACACACCAGGATCCCTTGGCTAACTAACAGGGAGTCCCCATTGACTTGCATAGAGCTCCCTGAACGCTGGTAATAGACGAGTTGGGATGGCAGAGAAATGCTCTCCGCAGACCCATTCTCACAGCGTTATAAACCTTTTTCTTACTCAATATCAAGCCACACTTATTGTTTTTACTTCGGCTGTGAGTGTTTGTGTGTGCTCAGTATGAGTTTCGCTGTGTCTCGCCGACCCGGAAACCTGTCTGCTCCTCAGAGCAGCTCGCAGCAGCGGCGAGCAGCAACGAGCCTCGCAACATCCTGACCAATCAGAGCACACTGGGCTCACGGGGGGGGGGCAGGAGCTCCAACAAGCCGTTTAGGACAGAGAGTGAATACCTGGTGAATACACATACTATACAGAGATGCTGTTAAGAGAAACCAATGTGAGTTTGGAAAATTGCACAATATAAATCTATTTTAGTATACCTCAACAATGGAAATATGATCAGTAGAAATGGCCATGACATGGGACCTTTAAGAGATCACCATCCATCATGAGACTCTTCTATTGATTCTATTTCTGGGTTTGTGTGATCATATGATTGATCACGAGGTATTATCAGCACTGGTGGTTATATCTCTCACAGGCTCCGCCCTCTACTGGACTCTATGGGTACTACCTTACCCTGCGAGCATTCTCCCACTGAGACTTCTATAGACGTAGCCGGCCTTGGGCGGGCCTACCTGAATGCGCGCGCATCACACCGTATAAAAGGAGGCCTCACCTCCTGACTATCATCCTTTTCTCTTCAGCGGCGGAAGTGTTTTCACGGAGCTTAAAAAGACGAGAGAATAGAGAGTTATGGAGTCAGTTCTTGACCACAGGACCTGTCCGAAATGTCCTAACCTGATCGCGGGAGCGGATCCACACCCCTTCTGCTTCCTATGTATGGGACCTGACCACGCCGTGAGCTGTATGGGCCCGACACCGGCATGCTCAGCCTGCCAGATGCTTCCTCGGCTCACACGTGAGCATCGTGGGCAGCATTTCCTGTCGGCGGAGGCCCCGCAGGAGGAGGTGGAGGATTCGGAGCTCGACGTCGTCGAGATGGGCGAGTCAGGAGAGGAGGAAGTGCCGTTCCGGTTCTCCATTCCGTGGGGCCAGTCAACCCCGATTCCGGAGGACGAGGACGAGGACGCCTCGGTGTCTGGAGGTCCGACTCTCAGGTCTGCGCGGAGGGATTTCCCAGCGGTGATGACCCTGGCGGCGGAGCGTGTAGGCCTACAGCTCCCCCCACCGCTGCCACCGAGGCCTATAAGCCGCCTGAGACAGGGGTATTACGGCCCGGTGCATCCAGCGCAGCCGACCTTCGTTTCGCCCCAGCTGCCTGATATATGGCGGTGTGTGGAGGCGACATAGCCATTTAAAACGAAGGCCCCAGTAGCCGCTATGGCAGGCATCATCAAGGTGGAGGGCCGCGCGGACACAGCGTGTTCGGGTGTGCCCCCCCTTGATGAGAGCCTGGCGGCCCATCTGCTTCCGGGGGCGGCTGGTTGGGCGGAGGGTAAGCGACCCCTGCCCCCGCTGCCCCGGGACCGAGACATACTGGAATATCTGGACAAGATGTTCAAGCTCGGTACGCAGATGGCGGCTGCAGCAAACAATCTCGGCGT